CCTGACGTGAACCTAAATTAATTCAAATGACAAAAACGTCAGTTTAAAGTGGCAGCTTTCTTGTTCCTATTCTCATGCAATATTCACATTTAAAGCACTCCAGATACAAATTTATTGTGGTATTTCTTATTGTTCATGATGCACTCTCCTTCGCCACTCCGCTCCTCCACTGTTTTCCTCCTTTTCCACCATTGTTTGCTTGTTACTTTTCAAAACAATAAGTCGCGTCACATATTGTTTATGTCAAAGATGCTGTGCATAATTTACTTGAGATGGAGTAAAATTGCACCACTCAACCACCCTCCACCACCCACTCAAATAATACCTTCCAATTGCAGGTTGTTGACATTTTGTAACAATTTTCCTTTCATATTTTCCAATTAGGAAAGCGCCATATTCCAGTGTTTATAAAAACATTCATGCAACAGCTGATTTTGAGTGCATTATCTTGGATGCGGCACAGCGCATGCTACTCATTTGAGTGAGTTTCATATGAGTGCGTTTTACAAATACTGGGAATAGATGACGGATAAATACATGTTATTCTTTGAATTGATAAATTGATTTCAAAGGTGATGGCTTGGTTTAATTAAAATAAATCCTAAAATAAGCAATTTTGATTCTATTGATTTTATTTCAATTTTTTTTTTTTTTTTGGAACAAAAAACTTATTATATTTCTAATATCTATGCGCATGTATACGGTCATGGTTTTCTGGAAACTTAGTGATTACTTAAAGGTTATCGTCATTTCAAATTTATTTCTCCATAGATGGAAAATATTAAGGCCAACATGTGAAAGTTCACCTCACTAAAACCAGCTCAGAAATAAATTATAAAATAAATTAACAGCAATCATACTGTAAATATTAAATGTAATCAGATCCACATGCCGACACTTTATAAAAAATTTGGTTCTTTCTGAAGAAGCAATGAACGCTTGAAAGAGATAACGAACTATTATTTTAGCTACTTACAATATCGAACTCCTCACCTTCGAGTCTTAGTTTTTTGAGGGCGGAGTATAGTGCATGTTCCAAAGTGTCACCGGTCTCTAACCAATATAGACATAATCTATGGTCAGCAAGGCTATGACGAAATAGATGTTTTGTACAATTAGTGTGACCTGTAATAACACCAATTACTAGTCAGTAGTCAATAAAATTTAAATTTTCAGCTAAGAAATTTATGTCCTATGACAAGAAGTTTATTTCAAATCTACAACGGTGTACAATTTCATATTATATATACGACATATTTTTAAGTATGTTAATAAACCAAATGAATTTCTTTCGTATGCATTGAATAAATGGTATTAAAGAATCGTGATATCTTAGTAAGCCAAATATTTTACTCAAGAATCCACAATAAAAATAACTCTTACTTTACATCCAAAAGTAGTGATATCTATTGTTGCAACAAATTCGATTATCCCAGATGGAGAACATATTGCAACAATTCTCTCTAAAAAGATCTCTTGGATTATTAAGTTCAGCGCGATCTTCTATGCTCTTACAATATTATTTAAAAAACCAATACAGAGAAAATCATTGCTACAAGAACCTCGATTATCCTGAAGGACGAAAAAATCACTACAGGACTTATTCTCTAAAAAAAACCTCTTCGATTGTTTTATTCAGATCCAAAGTAATCTTCTTGGCGATATGGAAATCGACAGCCAAAAAGGAATCCAACAACTGCATGCTATACCATTTAAATGAAATAGAATAATGTCAATATTAAATGGGAAGATGCCCAATATTAAAACCGTTTCAGTGTAAATATTTTCAAAAAGCTATGCTATATGTATATAAATTAATTAAGGTATTAAATGGTTCAAATGATGTACAGTGGGAAAAGGTAATTCATTTAAGAAGAAATGGGAGTTATGTATAAAAAATTTTTAAATAAGGAATTTAATTATACTTAACAATCTACAGATTTCGTGTTATGTTCTTAAATACAGGAATGCAATTATCGTTTATTATTGTATACTTTATTTTTTTTACTTCGAACTCTTAACTTTAGTTGAAAAATGTCACAACATAAATTAAGAACATTTAAGCTTATCTAGTCTAGGTTAGGTTGGGTTATACCAGCAATCATGAGAATTTACTTAAGTCTATTGACCCCTTGTGTTCCCATATAAAACATTCAGAGTTTTAAATCCAATCTAAAGCTAATTAACAACTTAAATAACTGTCATACTGTATATGGAATATTGAGTATTCCATAAAATAGCGCACACAAAAAAAAAAATAACTAGGAGAAGAAGAAAAAAACTTCTATACTTTTTTATGCCATTATTTTATTATAAAGAGGTTTTTTCGAACAGTAGTGAAATATAACAACAAAAATTTGTTTTTTATATTATTTTAATTAATTGAATTTTTGGCTGACCATACAGCTGTTTCGAGTATTGCCAAATACCCATCATCCGTGGTCTTTATTATTTTATTATATTTTAAAAATATTTATGCAAAGGCAGGTGATATATTATTGTATAATCTTTTATTAAAAATTTTTATTAGCAGCACAGATTATTATTTAAGAAGGGAAAATACATTTAATTTTATATAACTTAATATCAGAATTGAAAATAATTTTATTTCATTTACTTCAAATTACAATATTTCAAATTATTATCAAAAATAATAAAACTATAAATATCAAAAATAAAAATATTTTAAATATATTCCATAGTAAAACCCATGTAAATAATCCTAAATAAACTCTTAATATGCTACTTATAATCAAGAAAAAATATTGTTTTTTGCCTGGATAAAGATAAACCGTACGAAGGATGAAAATCCTAAAGAAACAAAAACCCAAACAGGAAGTGTTTGAATCTGAAGTTGATCATAAACAATCTCATTACCACCAAAATACCAAAATATAAGGACGAAAAATTACAAAAACTAGAAAAAAAGCACAACTAGTAAGAAACATAAGACAAACCAAGGACACTCGAATTGCCAAAACAAAAGCAAAAACTTATTAATGTCATTTAGCAATATTATGAGAACATTACCATTATAAGGATCTTAGTGTGGAATGGCGAATGGCGAATGGATGAAAGTAGCGTCATCATCAATATTGAAACGTTAGTCCTATCAACACTATCACCGTAGCCATCATCGAAATCATTATTATCGAAAGCGCACAATCATAATCGCACTGAAATCCTCTTAGCATTCATTGACGGTTATAAAGCAATACCCACTTAGTACATACGCCCCGAAGTACATTTTCAAAATTTTTACGTACAAAGAATATTACATGTCGCTGTGTCTGTGTATGTGCGTATCTATGTATTTGAAATAGAATTTATATGTATATATGTAAATAGATGCGATTTGTTTATATTTATGCGTCAAATTGTTCATTATTATGCGTTGCTATACAATTACTCCAATATTTGTAAAAGTACTTAAATATCGCATTTATGCATGGAACGAACGAGAGTGAGCCATTTGCTATTCTATTGTCCGTTTGAGCCGTTCTATTGTGAACGCCAATGGCAATCACAATACACGTAATTGTTTGCTTTAGAAAAACGCTACAAAATTCATTTTCGATTTTCGATATGGTTGAAGTAAGTCACTGAATACAAATATCATCCAGCCATCCAGCCATGAGTGCGGTATATGAGGCATTAACTACAGTATTTCGGTTTTGCCGAAATTGTGTATTTTGATGAAGTCATTCATGCATGTTTTATAGCTTAACAAAAAGTAGAAAATTCAGTGGAAAAACATATCTGAAATAATGGTTTTTCATTGAAAGGTGAGTAAGTGCGCGAAAATAACTTACAAACAAACATTACAACAATTCATAAAATTTCGGCTCAATTTATCAATCCTGAATGCTATTAAATATTTCTGTGCCGGAATAATTTTCTAATTTTTATTTGCATTCTCAAATAAAATACATAACAATAGTTTCATTTTACTGGTTTGGTAATAATGTCCGTATTACATATATTTCAGAAAAATTGAAAGATACCTGTAATTCATCTAGAAGAACTCATTAAATTTGACTATGGATATTGCAATTATTTAACTTAATTATTAGTATTCGAATTCATTTATTAATACTCTTATCAGTTCATAAAATAATGTATGTGGTAATGTGGGTCTTTGGCAGTCTTTCGCCCAAAGATATATGTTAGTATTTAGTATATTAATTGCCTTTGCTCATAAATTTTCAATTGGGATGAGCTGTCTGTATATGAGCTTTTACTACCTCGGTATATATTATGTAAATGTAAGCAATAGCCTGAAAACAACTACTTGAATTGATGTATATATTTTATATAACATATAGTTTTAGAAAAATATTACATACATTCAGTAGTAACACGCATAAAAAAATGCTGTAGTATAGCACTTTGATATAATTTCAATCATGTATTTCTTTCAAATCATGTGATTTAAATACGCTCTTATACTTTCTATAACCTCTGCTGCATACTTTTTGAATATATAATGTTACATATAAAAAATTTATTCATTCATAGAGACTTTATCCTACCACGGGACTACGTTATTACTTCGAGGTAGAGTCCCTATTAGTCAGTTAAGATTTCCTTCACCTTGTCCTTCATCGTGGTGTGATACATCTGCTTACTCCAACTGTCTTCCGTCAAGATCTACCTTTTTCAATCTCCGATAATTATATGTATTAAGACAAGTACGTTTTAATTTAGCTGTCAGAAACTTAAGCTTAGTTCTGGCCGAGCCTGGACATAGAACACAGCAGGTATTCTGGTGTCCTTTCTTCGTTAGCTGGTAGACACACGGGGTAGGCCAAGCTTAGCTCCATGTCGTCCTATGCTCCAGTGCCTTGTAAAAACAGATAGTAACCTAGATAACTCTGATTTGTTTCTGTTCAAACGTAGTAACCAATATCAATAATTTTAAACAAATATGTTTTTTAATGTAACTTTAAATTTTATTTTAAATTATTTTTGCTGCATTAAAATAACAGCAAATATTCATTTATTTTGTAAATATTTAATTTTCAATATATTTACTAGCGAAATTTATTATTTGATTTGATTTAAAATTAGCAAATAGTGCTTGACTCATTACAAATTTTGGAACTGAGGTAAAGTTATAAAAATTTAATAAATTTAAAGAAAAACTCATCTTTTCTTCCTTATTTTGGCAGCCTTCATCCGTAATATTGGAAGGCATCGATTAAGATTTTATCTTAATCGATTTAAGAGAATTAATCCCTTTTGTACTTGTGCTGAGGTAAGATATTTTTAATTTGAATTTTTCATACTTTTGGAATTATAATCTATAATCATTAATATGGAATTAATATATAAACTATAACTTCAACCTTGTTTCTGCTTTCTTCGAAACAGTGGTTTTATCAATAATTTGAAAAACGTAACTAAAAGATAATGCCACAATTCTTAATATGTAAGTTGATAGCACTGTAGTGCGTTACTGTACTAGGTTTGAAAACGATTAGTCAGTATATTTACACAAATTAATTTTACAATTATAGATTTGAGTGTTATGCGATGGCACTAAATCATGATAGTACAAGAATTTTTAACAAGGAATGTGATCAAAGTACCAGAAACAATCGTTCTGCTTTCTTGGGTCATTTTATTCTGATCCATAAAAATCGATTCAAATAAAAAATCGCAATCCATAAAGAATAACGGGTGAATACTGTACCTAAATGAGTCTATCAACTATGCATAGTTGTGTACTCCCGTTTTTTTATGTTTAATAGTTCTTAACAGCTTTTACATAGAATATACATACATATATCCAGTAATATGGCAAATACGTTGTTACCATGTACACCTTCAACTTTTTCAAAAATTTCTACCGTTTACCGGATCACCATAATCTCCTGTGCCGCTTTATTATTTAAAAATTTATTATAGACATTATTTTCATATAAAATATAGTAAGCTTAGCTCTTTGTGTTAGTGAGTATAAAAAAATTGTTGCATTAAATTATTCAAAAAATTTTTATCAGATAAAATTTGTTTTATTCTTGTGAAAATATAGATCGAGTTGCTCTAAATTTATATTTTTTATGCTTATTTCTAAATGTCATTACTCAAAACGTGATATTAAATACTCAGTAATTGAATTAAATAAATAATTTAAGATAATTTGCACACGAAATTGATGTATTTGTCGAACACTTCAAATCGCGCTTGAATAATTGACAACGAAACAGATTGAAATAAAACTGATAGGTATATTCTCCAGCTTAATCGCAGACGTCATTAAGTTCTAAGAGAAACTTGGTCTGGATCTTATAAGATGTACACAGAGGTGAGTTATACATATTCAGACTATTATGCTAATTTTACTAAGCCCATGACATAGTAAGTATAATGATTGCTTATGAATTTATGAATTGAAATAAGTTAAGTTAAGCTGAGCACTGACTGCGTGTATAACTGAAATTGGTTTAGTTTCTAACTCAACCGTATTTCATTAAAACAAAAAAAAAAATAAACAATAATTCCATTTTGTAAGAAAGATCTATTGAACTAGCATATTGGTGTCTATTGCCAATAATATACAAATAAATTTTCAGGTTAGCCTTGAGTTTTCTAAAAATTTGAAATTTATCAGATAAAAGTAAATTTTTATATTTTTATTCATTATTTTTTATAATCTAAGAAGATTGTCTCATTATTAGCAGCTGAAAATATTTATTTTTTAGACAAAACTTTTGTAATATATGCCAAAATTCAAATATTCCCAGGATTCGCTATCAGCATTTCTCTGCTGATTTGATCAGTATCAGTAGTTACTGATCTAATACCACTGCACAAGATTTTTGGATTAATTGATGTTTGACGTGCCTAAGCAAACCCTATATTTGCGAAATTCAAATATCTGACTACTTTGAAGATTTGATAGTAGCAGATTTGCATAAAGGACTACTGTGCATTTTGGTATGTAAAATTTAAGACTTCTTTTAAATCAGTTAAAAAATTTATTTTATTATATATAATGTAGTTTAATTTAGCAATATCCTTTTTTTCTGCCGAAGCCGAAAAACTCAGTCCTACAAACAAGAATTGTTAATATTTTATCTGAGGAAGATAAGAATATTGTTTGAATATTCAAGCAAGTAGGATTTTTCAGTTATAAAAAAATATATTTTGTATTGCTTTATTTTCAATAGGTTTACTTGGCCAATATCAAGAAGTTTTGCGAAAACTTATGTTATAGTTGCCGATATCCGAAACTGCAATTCAGATTTGGTAGTAACATACTTTACTGCACATACGACGGTACGTTTAAGTAAGTCAAATTTTAAATATATCTTTAAAGGTTATTAAAAAACGTATTTTATAATTATCTTTAGGATCACTTTATTGATCATTTCTAATCGCGTACTGATTTAACTCAAAAAACTTTAGTTACCATGAGGTAAGTCCTATTCTAATAATTATTATAATTTTGAAACGAAGTCCTTATGATTGTGAAATTTTTAATAATTAGATATGAATAACATACTAAAACAAGATTTTTGTACTAAAATTTTAATAAACACAATAATATTTTACACTTAACTATATTTTACTGGCTACACATTATAGTCAACTTGAGTAATAAATATTTGTCTTCAATGCAATCTATCTTCTAGAGTAGTGTAGTAGTGCCATTTCCCCAAATATATTTGAATGTATCTGGTAAACATATTTTTTTAATTTGTATTTTTTGTTTTATGTACAATGGCTTTATATTAATCTTATCAATGGGTTTACTTATTCATAACAATGTGCATATATGTACAATAATTCATACATAATAAAATCATGTTATTCTTCTGATATACCTATATATCAGATATACCTATATATTTTATGAGTAACTCGTTCAGGAAACCACATCGCGGATAGATTTTAATATTTCTATCATTGTCGGAGTTTACTGAAAATTTTGACTATAACTTTAAGGTTATTTTTGGGTAGTTACGATATTCATTTGATTTAGTTATATTGAGTATTTCAACACAAGAAATAGGTAAGATAATCTAATAACAACTTTCTATTGCCAACTGAAAAATCCTAAACTGACTGTAGCACTGCCTCCTTATTCAGATCTTTCGATTGTCTTTCGACTCGTTATTTTTATTATTGTTTCATTACCAAAGTGTTACATTAGATTTTCTTTTTTTAAATAAAAAGTTCGAATAGAATATTTAGATGTCAGTTTTTATTATTTTTAAGAGTAATATCGATGAGAACTGTATACAGCAACTTATCTAATACGAGAGCGTTTGAATTCCATTCAATTCTTCATTTCTACCTATAGATAGAATATCATACAGTCCCATCTAGTTCATAAAAAGCTTATTGTTTACAAAACTAAGTTATAAAAAAAGCTGGTATATAATTCTAGAGTTCTTAAAGATGGCATATAAAAAAAAAAATTTTAATATATAATTAATTTGTATGATTTATACAAATTGTTTTTGTATTTGTAGAATATTATCAATTGCACTTCTATACAATTATTTATATAATACTCATATCTGATCTAAAAAATTCGTATATATTATAAATTAAGGTAAAATCAAGTTACTTCATAAATCAGCGAATCTCTCTCTTCCTAATGTTATTAAATCTGCATAATCTGAACCATATGAAATCAATTTCGGACATGTGTAAAAATACAATTCGAACAGAAATAAATCATTTCTTTTGAAATCAAAATCACATAAATAGATTTATACATTCCACTGGGTTCCTGTGACCGTAAATGTGCTGTGTGCAAACAAACAAACCGAACCGAACCGAACACCCCAATAAACAAATAAGCTAATTGAATGACCTTCAAACTCTTGAATCTTGAACTGCAATTTTTAGCTTTTAAATATGGTTCCGGGTTTCAATATTGTAGGAATGAATGTGTTTTGACAAGCTCCACGAGGGCACTTCCCATAGATTTTTTTGCCACTGTTCAGGCGGCTTTTCTTTTATAATATTTCTCCTTTTTTTTGTACTGCTTTTCCGCATCACTTCCAAATTGTTTTTTTATGTGGGTACCAACAAAAATTGACTACAGATACAATTTTTTTTTTGCTCAGATACATTGCTTTTTCTTCTAATATTTGCTTATAGCTGGTGATGTTGCTGCTATTGTTATTGTTTGTGGTTGTTGTTGTTACCATTTTTGTTAGCTTTGCTGTGTTAAATTGGAAGAGCGTTGAATTGTAGCTCCAACTTCTGTTGGCCACATTCATAAAGTAAAAGCTTTATTATTTATTATTCCGTTGCCGTTGCTGACCAATTTTTGCCAACCAAACACATTTTTCTCTTTTCCACGTTTATATTTTTCAATCGAAAAGCAAAGAAAATTAAAAGAATTGGCTATGGTCGACCAACATACCGAATAGCCTTGGGGGTCCAATGGTTAAAATAGCTCCACTACACACAAATCATACGGTTAAGCATGTATCTCAAGCTTAACGTTGAGTGTTTGTGGTATCTGTGCACTGCACAGTTTTACTTAATGCCACTAATGTTGATGGTGATTGTGATTGTGACTGTTATGGTTCTGTTAGTACTGTTGTTGTTACTGTTCGTGTTGTTTTTGTTGTTGTTGTACATGTAACAATTTATGTTTTAGTAACTAACATTTATTTTATTTTTTTCATCTTCTATTAGCTCCTTATTGCTGCTGTTTGGTTATTTAAACTGATATCGCGCAATTGATATACCATATGCATAGCAAACGTAAAGTATCTCAATGAGTGGCATTATTTATAAATATCAAATCGATACAAGTAGATAGCATGGCAACATAGATACACACACATGCATGTACCGCCACTCATACATGCAATTACATATCGACTTACGTATAAGCGCAAATAAAGCAGCTTATAAACATATACTCGTGCTAAGCTCAGCCAGTGGCTGTGGATGTGGCTGTGAATGTGGCTTTGGCTATAGCCATTGTTGCCATAACCACAGTGCATATGGCAACAGTGCCGCATTGGCATGCCATAAGATAAAAAATCACTTTGTGTTTGCTTATCCAAGGAATATGCAAGTGCAAATGTATCTGTGTATCTGTGTGAGAATGTAACCTTGTGTGTGGGTGTGTGTGTGTGTGTGAGTGCTCTGTTAAACTCCCAAAGTGCACATCATGATTTTATTAAATAGACTCTGATGTATTTATTGTCCAGCGACAACGTGACTTGTAAATTGATTTCATTTGATGAAGCAGTTGTGTTAAATTGTAATTCATGCTTAAGTTTATGTGATATTACATGTGCTGTAAGCCAATAGATGAAAACTTTTTTTCTACCAAAACTATGAAGAACATACTGTGCAAAAAAAAAAGAGAACTCATCTCATGCGCCGCTTAAACTAACCAAACTACCAAGCATCAAGCCGTACCACCAACTAAAGCCAACCAACCAATATACGAAATATCAACTTAATTTCAGTATTTTCTATCTTTTTATTTTATTTTTTTGGTAAATTTTCTTTTTGTTTTTGTATTCGTAAGGATATGGCTAACAACCACAACAACAATAACATTGGCAGTTTTTGCGTATCACTGCGGAATATAAATTTTTTGCTTCATACAACAGCAAAGGATCAGTGGCCACAAATTGTTGTGGCGGAAGTGTGAGATTTTTGATGAACAAATGGTTTCATGCTTAGATACATTTTATCCCATTCTCTGGTAACTCTGCTCCAAATGCGCTTAAGAAATAACGTATTGAATGATTATATTATAGTTTTGTTATTCTATGTAAACAAACAAAAAGGTTACAAATTTTTATGTTAAGACCTTGAGCTTAATTTGTGGTAACAACGGTTAGAATTATTTATGGTAAACCAAGACAACCATACATGTATATACGTAGTGATGTAATGAAAGCATGAACTTCCTACAATGTTTTATTAAGAAACTCTTCTTCAATATTCGACATTGAAATCCAGTTATTGCGGGGAGTTGTGTTTTACGAGCAACTCTAGCCTGGTGCCTCGATTAATTAGTTCCTCTACTGATCACAACTCGACCGCTTCAACGAAACAATTAAGAAAAAGCGTTAGGAATTTGCCAACAGAATAGGAGTTGTATTACATCATGACGTCAGACTTCATATATCTCTAATGACTCGAAACAAATTGATAGTTTGGTTAGGAACTTTTATTGGATTTGCTATATAGCTCCTACCTAGCAGGGTGAACCTTCTTCAACATTTTATTCAAAAACTCTTCTTCAATGCTCGATATTAAAAGAAAAAAAAAACTAAACTAGAGATTATAAATAAATACATCCCGCTAGTAGACTATCGCTCACAATTTCTATAAGAAGATTAGTAAAACTAAAATGAAATCTTAACTGATGTTAAACAATCAATATCAGCTAATAAATAGTCAAGAGAAAGTTTTAGTGTCAAAATGCAATTTAAAGTGTTCATGAGACCATTCTAAGCAGACAGCCATTCCAAATTTTAATGACCCTAAAGAATTTCTACAAATACATAAGCCAAACTATATTATATTCCTAATATAATATAGTTGAAAAATGTATTAAATATAATAATATCCAATGCAAACGATCATCGTCAAAAGCTGGTGACGTTTCATGAATGACTTCAGAGCCTTGATAGACGGCAAATAAGGTTATGTTGAGTGTTTGATGGAACGTAAAGGGAATTATTATTATAATTATTATTATTACTATGACGTGCTCTAGCTTAGTACAATGGTTAATTTAGTGCTTTAATACTCACATTGCTTCGGAAAAATTTACGGAATTTAGTAAGGAAATTTTGATGCATCCTTCGTATAGCCCGGAACTTGCACCATCTGACTGCTATTTGCAAAACGACTATACAAAACCTCTTTAATGGTAAAAAAAAGAAACCGGAGGAACGCTAAAAATCACTTGGTTAAGTTTTTTTAGCAATAAACTACAAAGTTCTACCTTGATAGAATTATGAAGTTACCAGAAAAATGGCATAAGATCATATAGGTATAATAATGGTCAATATAACTTGATTAAAATTGATTTTCAATGAACAAAATTTGCTTTTCAAAACATTTTTTATATCACCTATTATTTATATATTAAATTATATTAAATTATATACATATAAAACAAGTCAATTAGTAAAAAATTATGGGAATATTTTCGAAAATAATAAAAAAAGTCATATGCACAACCGAAGCAGACTTAATTTTAACTTAATTTGTTGACTGCCCAATTTTTTTTAAAAAAGGAACCGAAGAGCCATACTCGAAACAAAGGAACAAAGGCGATGAACCGGCTTTTGTGTTGTGGTTGCTAATGCGATAACGCAGTAAAATCCTTTCTTAGACAGTCGCAATGACTGACTTGTATACTGTGATTGCTGATGCGATACCTTAGCGAATTTCTTAAAATTTTGAATATTTAAACAACACATTCTCTTCTACACAAATGTCCATTATTTCAACTTTGTATATTTAAACCTCCATCAAAGAGCGTATATATATATCACAATCAAATAAAAGTTTGACTTTCTTTTTTTTTTTTTGATAACTTGAATTGTACTTCAATATATTTAAATAAAAAACACTAATTTTTTCAATAAATTTAAAAAACTGAACAATATTATTGTAAAGTCAAAGTTCCATATAATAAAAAAAAATTATTTTTATTTATATTAGACACTTCAAAGAAGCTCCACAAATGACACTTAACAGTTTGGAAAATCTAAATGAAGGTGTTTATTACACCAAAAAATACAATAAATGGATGAACCAGCTATGCGAAAAGAAATTATCAATGGATGATATTGCTAAGGTTTTGGAATTTGAAAGAAGTCTACAACAAAATGCTTCAGAGAAGAATGTGCCAGTAAGCATATATATATATATATATACATATATATAAATCCCAAAAAAATGATTAATTATGTTTTTTTTATAAATAGCTTAATACAGAAGCAACAGATTTTTACGTCGATAGATTTATAGATATATTAGCAGAACGGAGGAATCAAATCAATATTGCTGAACACAGAAAAAGAAATATAATGATTCGTAGGCCCAGAAAACCAGGCTTTAAGAGAAAAGCCATAAAAAAAATTACTACAAACAACAACGCTAAAAATCCGAATCCTTTACCTGTAATTAAGCCGAAACGTCAAAAAGCAAAACGAATATATAGAAAAAAGAAAAATGGTCCAAACAAAGCGATCATTCAAAATACTATTATTCCAAAAGAAGAGGCTCCAAAGAAAAAACAAATAAAAAAAAAACCAAAGCAACCAAAAAAAAGAAAACCTATCCAACGAAAAAAACCAGCAAAACAGCGAAAGGCAATAAAGAAAATAATGCCTATGATTTATTGTCCTCCCTTACCAAAAGACAATACTCACTCCCTCACTGATCTTATTCATTATGTAAAATCAACACCAAAAGGAAAAAAACCGAATAAGAAAAATAAACGAAAGGTTGTTAATAAAATCCAGAAACAAAGACAACAAGAAAACAAAGTCAAAGCGATCGGTAATAAAAGAGGAATAAAAGAACTAAATAATTTTTTCCAGGCAAAAAACAAACCTGCTAATCCGAAAGGTGTTTATCAGAAAAAGAAACGAAATGCTAAGAAGAATAAACGAAACATTTATAAGAAGAAGAAAAATGGTTTCGATAGAAAAAAGATACAAAAAATTTTCACGAATCAGGACAAATGTTCCCTATCAACGCAACCTTCTATCATGAGTACCGAAAACGATTCTTTCAGTGATGTTAAAATGATGGACTGGCATATGGATTCCGAGGACTTTGACTACACTCCCTATCGAACACCACAAAATAAGAAGAAAAAATGTCGCCCAGCCAAAAAACGTGTCATAAAAAAAAAACAAAAGTAATTTTAACTTAACCCGGACTTGTCGAAACTCAAATCGTTCATAACAGGACTTCTACAATATTCATATTTAAATAATGCGATCTATTCATACCAAAAACCAGTTTTAAAAACATAACCATATCAACAAAGTCTTTCACATAGATTATAACAATTCAACAAAAAAATGTAACAAATAAAATGTATTAATGAAAAAGTTTTAATATTACTCCCCGTATATATCGAAATTTTAAGTAAAATAAAAAATTTTTTAATCAAAAGAATGTATATGTACTTATTGCTTAAAATCTTATTCAATGAAATACCCAGCTTCAAAAATTAAGTACATACTTAAAGAATGATTTTAGGTGGGTGTAAGTCTTTAGTTTATAATTACACGATAACACATGAGGCCTGTAAGCCTAAGTGGATGTCTTAGGATTGCTGGTATAATCTACCTAACTACCTATCTATCTACCTATCTGAAGAATAATAACATGAGATATTGAAAAAGATAAATAACTCTACATAAACATGAAATTTTTTTATTTTTACTACCTTTTTTTGCTTTTTATCTTCGTTTTTCCTTATTTTTCTTCTAACTCTACCCGCTTGTTGCGGGTATACCATATAATATAAAGTTCATCGTTTTTCAATAAATGAATACTGTATTCATACTGTATACTGCCTGAGAGTACGAAGAATAATTGTTTTAGATTGTGGACACAAATCTTTTAGATGTTTCGCACCTTTCCAAAATACATTCATTCCAATAGTTAATTCTTCAAAAAGTTTAACCTAATGGTATAAGCCTTTTGTGGACAAACCATTTAAAATTAGAAAAGAATATTTAAATTGTCGCCATTTCTCACTTTCCATTTCATCAATCACAATATTTTAAAGGATGTTTTTGTGTTTCTAGAACTACTTAATGACGTACCTCAATTTTTTAATTCAAGACATTATTTTGTTCGTTCTACAATTCGTGTGAATACTTTTCAATAGCATAAATATTCAGTCCACAGACTATTAATTGATTTTTTTAAGTTACTTAATTCCATGAATTTCAATAAAGGTTATAACATATCTGATCTTTGGTGAAATAACCCATGGTTTTGATGACGCTTTCAGTAATCACAAATTTCGCCCTCATGATGAAACCATTTGAGCTTCTGATGAAGTCGATCAAAAGATAAACAGTCATCACCATGAACTTAGTTAATCAACTGAAATGTTAGATAAGTATACCTTCTGATCAAAAAGGAACGAGAGGCCTATTTTTGAATTCCCGAACTTACCCAACCGGTAAATTGGATAAGCTAGAAAATTTTTCGACTTCTTTGTATAGACGCCAAACAAAAAATAATCGTACGATATGCGTTAAACTTTGACAGAATGTGTAAATAGTGTTGCCAACGTGAAAATAAAAAAAATTTCCGATTGGATAAACGCGGGAATTCATAAATTAAAAATTAAAGTTCTTTTTTGATCACAAGGTAAGTATGGCTAAAAATTAATATTGAAATTAAAAATTAATTGAAATTCATATTATTCCACTTAAGTGCTAATATTCCACAATAAATTTTAGGCTCCCTTCTTGGATCTTAACTTAGGCAAATTTGTGAAATGCGAATTTTCAAGTCAATAAACTCGAATAACAATTTCACTTGCTGTTACCTCATTCTGTCTATTTAAATAAGAACAACAGATACAACAGGAAGAACAGGAGCAACAACAATTGAAGTGACAAGAACGTAGGTTGTAGGTTGGCTTTACACCTTCAATTTCTCCTGGTTCCTATTTTTGTTGGATATGGCCATGTGCCATGCGTCATATGCCATGTACCATATGCTACCTGACTGCAATATTTATACTCTGTTTTCCTAAGTAAAGATGCGTACTTTTAGCTTTTCTCAAAATTTTTTTGTTGTTTTTAGTATGTGTACTTATATAGTATATACTACTGTTTGTACGAGTAAGTATTTATCTGCATATCTTTAACTCGTTGACATTAATTCACTGCGAATTTCTGCAGACATTTCATTTCTTGCATACAAAATTGACAAAAGGTTTTCTAAGCGATATACTCGCGTTTATTTGTGTAAACATTACGTAAATTTCTTTTTCTTCCTACTTGAGAATTTATTCATGTTAATGTATTATGCATGCCATGACAAAAGCAGGAAAATTGGTGTAATTTTCTCATTCTTCATTCATATTGGTACTCTCGTCTTCTCTTCGCAAAGAATCAGCTGAATACGTATATAAGTGTTTTAACAGAAAACCTCGTAATACTCGTAGTATTAAACATTGGAGTTGGAGTAATATATGCTTTTATTGGTATATTGTTAAAAACAAAATTCTGCTATTAAGCACATTTAATGATTCAAATTTTAAAATCTGCACATAAATAAAATTTAATAACAGAGTTTCACTAAACTAAAACTAAACTTTTGTCGATTTGCAAACATACAACTAATTTAATCGTGCTTTAATGGACCTCTTTTATTATAGACCAATAAAAATTTTAATGAAAACATATAGTATATGCGTTTATGTCCTTCGATTACATAAAAAAAAACCTATATGTCTTTTATTAACCCAGCTTCACCCTTGGCATGCTTTAAATGCTCACAATTTTTAATGTATCTCACATTACAAACTTCTACGTCTTTAATGATGGCAAAAACAATTCACAATGCAGAATTTTTCACTACTGCCACTAGCACAAAAGTAATGTCTTCTCTTTTATTTTTGCTATTATTCCATTTTTTCTTGATTTTTTCCTCTTTACATACATATATTCATATATATATAAATATATCTTTGTAGCTTCTATATATCATATCACTTCTACTTTTTATTTTTCCAGCTTGTTAAAGACATCTTCTGCGTTGGTTTCGTTAGTACAGCTTAGTTTTTCCTTTTTGGCCCAACATTGCGTATACGTTACGTAGAGCATATACTCGCAAATAAGCACTCTCGGTACATGTAGACATACATACTTGTCTGAATACTGAATACAAGCAAATAAAATGTCAACAACTGACATTTGAAATATGATGCAAATGATTCTTGTAAGTGGTTGCAATCAACATTTTAAGAGGTCTCATTATTTAAATATATTATTGCAATGAATCGTACCTTTATAGAGATTTAGTTGCAGTTTTACATGAAGACAGCATTATCTTATTTTCTCAATATATTTTCACCCTATTTGTGTTCACTTTTATTGTGTTCAAAAAAAATTTAAATATTAATCAAACGACTCGACTTTATTTTTACGTAAAGTCACTAAGAAAAACACAAAAAGTAATACTTTAAAACACATTTGGAGGAAAAATTATATAAAATTAGACAAATTTTAATTTTATTTAATAAAAAGTTTAAATAATATTTAAAGGAAACGTTTTGAACAGTACAGAATTGCAACAACAAAAATTTTTATTTATTTTTAATTAACTACGTTTTTAGCTGACAAACAGCTGTTTCGAGTATTGTCAAATCTCCATCATTAATGGTTTTGGAACTATTATAAATAATTATTCGTAAATCATTCTTTTGGAGGCAGCAAGTGCTAAGAGATGAACTAGTACCCCGTTAAATTTGAAACTCAGAGTAAGTGTTCTTTACTGACCCAACTGTTGTTATTGTTAGTTGTTGCAATTCAGTACTGTTCGTAAGCATTCTATTAAATACAATAGTTCTACGTGGTAGGCACCTTGTCGTGGTGTAGATACAACTTGAGCTATTCTGATCAATGTTCCAGTCAGTGTTATCACTGATGTCACTGACTGGAATATTGATTGAGATTAGAGCAAGAAGTGTAACCAAGATCTACCAGTAGGTTAAGGTAGAATGTGTTGTTTTGTAATCTATGTTTGTAGTGGTAGTAATTAGTTATAAATTTGTAGTTAATTTGTTGTTTGTAGTTTGTAGTTTTGTAGTCTTTGAAGTAGTTAGTTTGTAGATAGGCTCTTTGTTTTTGCAAGCTGGCAAAGTCTGAATGGCTGAACAATACACTAGCGTCTCAGGGAGTAGGTGGCGGTAAAGACCGTCCACTAAGTTCCAGCTTATCAGTCAGACTCGTAAGGGTAAGTGCGACAATCTCTCAGGCTGATGGGAAGCTCTTGATATGGTCATATCTCTGCCAAGGGTGGACTGCTGATTGTCGGGCTGGGAAGAGAAAACTTCCCGAGTACGTATTTCTAGTAATTATTGTTTTAATATGTGTAGCTGTCAAGTCTGTACGATACCTAAAAAAACCCCCAAATCTGAGGTAGACTGTTACGCCGAGGATGCTTAGCTGGAGGGGTCCAGTCTTTTAGTAATGAACTCAGGATACTCAGGAACTCCTGTTTTAATTAATGCCTTTTCAAAGTATGGGGCTCTGCTTTGGGTGACTGTTCTTTCCCTTATATTAAACACTATATATGGAAAATAATCTAAATATACCTATTAATAATATAATTACAGAATCAGAGGAAGAAGCTCTACTCCGTTCGCCAACGAAGGTTGGAGGAAATCGTGAAAAAAGGCTTGAAGCATATCTCAAGATTCAGGATCTGGATGATCTGAACCCATCTGCTCAGAGACCAATGGTATCAAGCGGTGGGAACACCTCTCCGGTGATTGGCACCCAGAGTCCTATGGACACAGGTGACCACGATGGCGGTGCGTCTAATGCTAACACCCAGAGCATGGTGAACTCAGGTGACGGCAACATAGAGACTAGGAAGAAAGTGGAATACTTCACCGAAGTACTAATATGGAATACTCTGCGACATCTATAGTCAGGCATATATAAGAGAGGAACAATTCAAAACGAAATTGATAATAAACTGACTTATAAATAACAACTAAAAGACAAATTTGGAAACTTCAAATCTTCTACAGAATTATAAATAAAACAATAATAAAATACCAATCATATCGGAACCAAATTTATATTACTACTCGCAAAGTCATTAAATTCATATTAAATATGCAAATCATAAGTATTCTTCTTCTTTTTTTTCGAGCATTGAATTGAACATTGAAAAATAAACACTAATTTTAAGAAATGAGTTAGAATTGCATTCTTTTAAAAGAATTACGGAGTGGAATTGTCTGCATGTTTTATTCACTGCTATACTCTTTAGTTATGAAAGCATATTGTAACTAAAACTTTATAAACACATGCTGAGATATTCAGGAGACCATAACATCATTATCATTTAGAT